CTTATCATTCTCTCTTGGAGTGGGCTTGAACTGCTGATCTTACTGTTGGCAGCCCAGCACTTAGTCCACTATGACACCAGAGCTCCTCACCTGAGCCCTGTAGCCCTAAATGCAGGGTTTGGGGTCAGGCCTAGGTTGGGTGGGGCCTTACATGTTACTTAATCGTGACTGTTGGGAAGTAGGAGACACGGGGGATTTAACTCTGACACCCGTCAGTAGACAGGAGGAATGGAGGGTGGCTGCCACCTTGTCACACATGGAGACCCAGCCCCTAGTGCATGCGACAGATGTGAGCTAGGCAAGGCTTACCTTAGAGGAAGGGAAAGGGATGGGTAAAGCGAGGCCTGACATGAGGGGACGCACTGGAGCGTTCTCCCTAAAACATCCCCTGAGGACCCATGGGGGCATCCCAGTGCTCACCTGATCTGGAGCTAGGAGCGGGCAGGTGTGGCCCTGTGGGAATCCGTACTCCTTCTCAGATCTCATGAACAGAAAGGATATGGGGTTGTCAGAGCTTGGAGGGAGCACATCCCAGAGCGGGCAGAGGTAGGATGAGACCCTGTGCCGCCCAGTGAAAGTAGACAGCTGGGTGCCCCGTCACAGCTGAGCATGGAAGGTGCCCCTTTCAGCCTGGTCCAGTGGTCACAGGGGCCAGTGTCCATGTCTGGACCACCCCAAGCACCTCCTGGAGACTCGATGAGGGCCAGAGATTGGCTTCTCAATGCAAATGTTATATGTGCTGCAGGCAAGGGCCAGTGACAAGATCTGGTTAGCACAGTGACTTCACAGGACAGACGTCTTCTGGTCAGGAAGGACAGCAGAGTTCCTGGCATCCACCCCGCAGGCTGATGGGGATGGAGCTGGGTTTCTCAGGTGGAAGATGCTTGGCTGTTACTCAGTCTCAGAATTCTGACTTCTCCCTCTGTACAACCCAGGCTCCATTTCCAACCAGTACATCTCCTGGGCAGACACCACCCATCTGTCACTGGAGGGTTTTGAGCTGCTATTAGGATGACAGTTCAGTAGAGCTTCCACGCTAAGAGTAGGAGGAAAGGTCTGGTGATCTACTCCAACAAACAAAAACCTAACCAACCCCTGAAAATCCTCTGACTTAGAACAGCCGAATCCCGGTGTGCCTGAAATTGTCACTTGTCAGGGCTGACTGGAGAGCAGCTAACAACAGCAAAACCACAATATAACTAGTAATAACCATGCCTATTATGGGAGTAGTAATATCTGTTCCACAGGATGGCTGTGTGATCGGAGATTGTGCACATCCAGTACTTGGCCCAAGGGAGACACTCGGCCGGTAGTTTTTAGAACTGAGCCAGGTGGAATGCTCAGACTTCACATAAAATCTTTGAAGAGCAAATGCAATTGATTTCATCTCTTAATCATCTGAGTGGGGAATTCTTAAATTATCCTGAATTATTGTATTATGTGAAAGCTGCACGACGTGTATGTAATACCTAATTTTGCTTGTTGGTTTGTCTGATAGTTTGCTCTTCAAATATTTTTTTTCCCTTGGAGCTAACGTGCTGGGACTGGATTTAACCTGAGACAGGAGACTAGACATTTTGAAAAAGCAATGTGGCGATGCATAGCAACTGTGTGTTGGCATTCAGCGATTTTGTCATTGTTTTAGGTGTAAACTTGTATAACCGGGGGTTTAAAAAAAAATAATCCATTACCTCTCAAGATTGATAACTTAAAAGTGCAGATTTACCAATTGTTGGCAACTCAAATTTCCCTCAGCTATTTTCTCATCTCTCCATGAAGAAAAACGTGCCTGTTTTCCTCCAGGGTCCGAGGGAGGGACAGAAGGCAGTCCAGGTCATCAGAAAAGACGCATAAGGACCTGTCTGAGAAAAGGACCTTCCGGGGCAGCCTTAAACACTCTCCTCCCGCTCCACCCGCGTCCCCTGCTCCCAATTAGCCCCCTGCAGCCCCTTCTCAGCACCTCAGTCCAAGAGGTTCAGGAAATGCAGCTAAGGGTGGCAGCTCAGACTCAAAGCCTACCACAGCCCTTTCTGTCCATGTGTCCTCACCTGGGAAGCCCACCTGTTGAGAGTCCCCACAGCCTGTACACTGCACGTACAGGTGTGAACTCCAGGTAGCGTTCAGATGCCTGACCCCAGGTAAAGTCCAGGTGTCCAGACCACCTCAGCTACTAACTTACTCCTGCTCAGCCTCAGTTTCCCTATTTGACTATGGGTGGGAAGAGGGTGGCTGGTGGCCCCTCTGCTCTGCAGGACTCTTTTTTACCTTACAGTGTCGCTAGATTATAGTCTTTTCAGTTGCCATATAATCTGAGGGCTGGACATGAATAAGGATGACCAAAGAAGAACTGATGCCTTTGAGTTGTGGTGTTGGAGAAGAATATTAAATAGCCCATAAGCTGCCAAAAGAACAAATATGTCTTGGAAGAGTGCACCCAGAGTGCTCTTTGGAGGCAAGGATGGCAAAGCTTTGTCTTACATACCTTGGGCATGCTGCTAGGAAAGGCTGTTCCTTGGGAGAGATACAATGCTTGGAAAGGTGGAGGGACGACGGAGGAGAGGAGGACCTCACACAAGGTGGAATGATACTGTGACTGCAGCACCAGGGCAGCGTGGGTCAGAGAGGATGAGGACAGGACAGGCTTCGATTTGTTGTTCACAGGGTCGCTGTGACTCGTACTTGACTCAGCAGCACCTGATAAGAACAACTGACCTGAAGGCTGGCGGTTCAAACTCATTCAAGTGACTTCAGAGAGGAAAGGTCTGCTGATCTACTTCTGTAAGGTGACAGCCAAGAAAACCCTTTGGGACGCGTTACCCCATTACACACAGGGCCACTGTGAGTCAGAGTTAACTGGATGGTGCCTTAAAAGAAAAGCTGGGCAAATTGATCGCCCAGGGTTTAACCCAGCTGTCTGTGCCATGCGCTTCTCAGTGCCTAGAATGAAGTGACCAGTGCATGCGCAGGAATCCAGGCAGCACAGTGGTTAGAGGGCTGTGCTGCCAACAGACGTTTAAGAGTCAGAGCCTGCCGTCTGCTGTGGAGGAGAGTCGTGGCTCTGTTTCCAGAAGGACCACAGTGCAGGGAAGAAGCCTCTGGGACAGTCAGCTCTGCTGTGGCCTGGACAGCCGCTCCGGGTCAGAATCCACCCACGGTGGCGGTGTGAACACTCCTTGTTGTTACTGTAGAGAAACAGGCTGAGCTTGGTGGGTTTTTAGGGACCAGACCCCTAAATGGTCAGATCCCACCATAGCCTTGCCCAGCTGACCTCTCGGCTGTGGTTTCTCCTCTCTGCAGGCTGATGAGTGTCCACTGTTATTATTGTTAATATGTCAATGTCACTAGTTATCTCAGGGGACTGAGGCTGGGCCTTCAGCTGGGGATCAGAGTGGGGCTTGGTCCATGGCTGTGCAGCCCACACCAAACAGTCAGTAATCTCTCAATCTCTCTCCCCCTTCCTCTCCCACTCCC